AGATATTTGGTGCTTTTGGTCGAAGTTGAAATCTAGGAAAAATTCTACGTTTATTCGACGTGGAAATCCGGTGTAGCACGTCACTGGTCGACGAGGGACGTTTTATCAACGTGAAACAGTGACCGCAAATACATCTGTACCTGTGTTAGTTATTTATACACGTGGAAAAGACGTGGATGTGACGTGGCATTTTATGATAAATTTAAATTGTAATCTTCCAAATAGAGAATGTCCGAATGATGATGATAAGTGTTTGGGTGATGTAATTTATTTGTAGATACATCCTGGTCCCAAAAATATAAAAATGCATCTCGAATCTAAAATGCTTTGCGAGCTTTGTTATAAATAATAATGCCGTGTAAACATATGTATTAGTCATTATTAAGTGAAAATCATCCACCACCTTATTGTAATAATAAAATATGAAAGTGTGATTGAGAATTAATTATAATATCAATGTTTCCCCATTTCATGACCAATAAATTTGAAATATCGCGCCTTGAAAGGGGAAGCGACAATGATACAGAGTGTCATAGCTGCATTGCTAGATTGCAGAATTCTCATCACAATAACCGATATTAGCTCCCAAGATTTTTACATACTCATATTTCAGATTTGGAAAGCTACAGATTGTTTTCTTGTTATAATTACTTTTGTAATGCTGCAATTTTTTTGCGTCTACATAATGCTTTTGGCTGAAGCTGATCTTTGTGTGTCGTTCCGTCTTCATTTGATCTATCCTTTTTTTCATACCTATACTATTAACAATTTCCTAGAGTTGATAAATAGTTGTTTTCTGATTGAGTCTAGTACATTTCCTGTGGAACTTTATATGAAGAACATTAAGCTTCTTCAACTCGATAACATTTTGGAGACATTGAACAAGCAGCATTAGGCAACCATGCTTTTGAACAGACATCCGATCCAATCAAAGTCATTCCCACGCTCTCCGTGCTCCCCAACAGGAACCTCATGTTGTTTCTTACGTCGCGTTCTCCATCCTGCATCAATTTTGCATTTTGCGAAATGTGCACGTACATACCTATCTCCTGTAAACTCTAAAGTTTAAATGTGTTGACAAAAGCCATACTGTGTTCCTGCTCATCGTTTAATCAAGAACAGTGTCGTGACAGTATCTATGCCTTTGTATGAACCATAGGCATAGGAATAGAATTTTCAGATGAAATTGGTCGTGGTGCTGGGGGCGATATTGCCATAGTGCATAAAAGGTGGCTGACGCCGAGATAGAAACGGGTGTGGTGGCCACCATATAAGCAGCAAGTACCGTATAAGCAGTACGATATCGGAAGAGTGTTTTTTGAGGCCGGTAGGTATATTCTTCGAACTTTACCTATAATTAAGGGACGTATCGCTAACGTCAGTCGTCCCAACAATTATTGTAGGACGCCTTTATGGCCTCCTTGATTTTCACAGATTTCTACTATTCCGTTTTACCGCTCGATTCTGAGGTTATGTTACATATCTATTCCCACCAAAATGCTCATACTTTTCGTTTATATCGATTTTATCAGCCTTTTGAAGAGGAGAAAATACTACGAAAATCGAGGAGGCCATAAAGGCAACCTTCAATTGTAAGAATGACTGACAAGACGGCCCTGAAATGTATTTAATTACTTCAAGTCTCTCTATACCAATTTGAATATTTTTCAAATAATGCAGCTGCAAATTGAACTGCAAGAATTCATTACCTGCAAGACTTTTATTACAAACTGGGACTTTATGTTTGTAGAACAATGAGTCTGTTCAGCGAAAGTAAAGCTGTACAGCATTTTTATACTGAATAGCAATAGCCATGGGATTTGATACATGTCATTAGGACTTTAGTTGGTTATATGACCAAATTAGGAGAATATTATTTTCTTTTTCAGATCTTGTACTTTTTGAAGTTAGGGGGACGTGATATTACCAATAGAACATACGTAATTTTGAGGCGCCTAATATCTAATCATTTGGCAGTTAGCTACAATTATTTGGGAACTAGACAAGAGAAGAAGGCATTCAAAACTTCATTTCACAACAAGGATGTAATAAATAAGTACTAACAGATCTTTATAGGTTCCCAAACAGTTTCAGACCTATTATTGCTTGCAAATTTTGTTTTTGTATCTGATGTAACATGCAAGACTTGATGTACAACTATATTCAAAAATCATTTTTCATGTGACAGCTTTATATATAGGTAAACAAGTAAAAAAATATTTACTAATAAAAAAACTAAAACATAGAATGTTCTATCAGACTAGCAGACAATTTATTCTGCATTTTAGCTGTCATATTTTATTTTTCCCCAGTCAAATTATATTGATTTTAAGTTATAGTTGGATTGTTTAATCTTATTTTGTATACAGTTGATTATATCAAATCTATATATTCAAATTTTATTTCAAAGGGCTGTTCTTTCTTTCACTAATGTTACCAAAAAAGATGTGTGAAGAAGATGTCATTAAAACTTGGTTAAAGCTTGCACCAAAAAGTTATAAAACAAAATATTCATGTATCTTTTTTATCCTCAGTAGTAGAATGTAATATTGTGTTAACTAAAAACAATATTCGACTTTGATCTTCTACTCACATTCTTTTTTTTATTAGACAGTGTCACAAAGTGAAAGGAACTATAAGAAAGTTATAAGTGAGCATCAGCCATTAGACATGTTTGAAAGGAAGTTCAACAAAAACTTAATAAAATAAATGCCTCTCAGGTTGTGGCTTCATCTCAACAACAGGGTTGTAGAGTCAGGCAATTCAAATTTTGAAGTAACAGGATATTTTGAGAAATGTGAGACATTTGGGGCAAGGTTTTGACAATAGTGATAATATTGAAGAAGATCTATGCATCACCTATATGCGAGGTAGATTCTTCACAACTATGCAGCTTTAATTACCCAATAATACATCAGAGCTTAATCTGATGCTCACAAAACTACTGTTTCATTCACTGAGATCATATTTAATTAGAAAACTAATATGCAATGAAATGTATTAAATCATATCTGCAAAATTTGTATCTATTTATATATACTAAGTGAGATATAAATCCGAACACCCAGTTTAAATGGTTTTATTTTAATAAAATTTTGTATAAGTACTTAATGAAGCATAATAAGTAAATGATAAAAATTTCAAAATGATTGCACTGCTTCAAAGCCCTTTGACCTTTAATAATGTGTGGATGCACCCTAATGTGCTACGCATTCTCCAACGCGCCTAGGCATGCTTCTGATCAGGTGGTCAATGTCCTCCTGTGGTATCTCATTCCAGGCAACCACCAACTCCTCCCTAAGTGCTTCTAGAGTCTGAGGAGGGCGTTGCAAATTGAGCAATCTCCTACCCATCATATCCCACACGTGCTCAATTGGGGATAAGTCGGGAGATCTTGGTGGCCATGGTAACAATGTGACATCATTATGTTGAAGGAAGTCTATTGTGACTCTTGCAACATGTGGTCGGGCATTATCTTGTTGGAAAGTTGGATCTGCCAGCGTGTCAAGATAGGGTAAAAGATGGGGTTCTAGAACTTCGTGGATATAACGCTGCGCGTTCATGTTACCTCTGATGAAGATTAAACGTGACCTGGAACCATAAGCTATAGCACCCCAAACCATAACTCCAACAGTGTGATGAACATGTCTTTCAACAAAAAACTGCGGATTCCTCCTGTCACCACGTCGCCTTCTAACCCTGGCACGACCATCCTGCATGCCTAAACAAAATCGAGACTCGTCACTAAAGACAATACTGTTCCATTCCTGATCCCAGAGTGACCGTTGTCTGTACCACTCAAGGCGATTACGTCGGTGTTCTCGAGTTAATGGGAGGACCCAGTGTGGCCGGAATGAAAACAAGCCAAAACTTCTCATTCCTCGGTAAACACTTCGCATGCCAACAGGTCTTCCGTGTTCTGCAAACCATTCATTTGCAGTGGACCCGATATTGGAGAAACGGTCCCTTAAGGCCAATAATCTTAGGCGGCGATCTTCACGGTCTGTTGTTCTACGGCGGCGTCCAGCGCCCCTTGCTCTTTGCGTACGGCCTTCTCGAAGCCATGCCTGACACCTAACCACAGTGTCTACACTTCTTTGCACTCTAACTGCAATTGCCCGAAAAGAAAGTCCAGCTTCCCGAAGTCCCACTATACGGCCCCTATCAAACTCACTAAGTTGACGAAATCGTACAGGTCTCCGTACTCTAGGCATCGTAACCGATCGTAAAGGATGTCAAGAACCAAAATCCGCCAACGTTGATTCTTTACTGCGGCTGAAATATTCATTTTTAGAGCGTTAGTGAATTAAAAAAAAAGCAGTATAAAAACCGGAATGTCCAAATGATAAGGCTTTTCACTTGTTATTTACAGTAAGATAAATACATTCACCAACTTTTATTAACATAAAACCATTTAAACTGGGTGTTCGGATTTACATGTCACTTAGTATATGTATATAAGTTAATATATAATCTTATCAGTATTCATTTATTTTTAAATCTCACATAAAATGTATGAGCAGATATCATGGTTTGTATTTAAAGCAATTGGTGAAATGTTGTTAACAAGACATATTTAGAACTAAAATGCTACAACTTTGGACAAAAAATTACAATACTCATGTTTTAAGAAGTTGTTATGATTGTTCAAGTAGTTATTTCAAATTAAATTACTATAGTATTAATCCTTCATTTTGTCTGCCCTTACAATTCAAACCACATATATGTTTAAATAATGTATATTGTAAACATTTCTTCCACCACAGTGTCCTTCTTTAGTACAATAACATTTGCAGGGTTGAGTGGATGAAGGTGGTAAGTAACTTTTGGGTTAAAATGAGTTCAGTATGTTTGGTGAAGGCTATAAGTGAAATTCTGTCTGGAAAACTGGTTGTTAACAATAACATTGTCCACAGTGGGACCAACCTATTTATTGATCCAAATGTTATTTACCACCTTCATCCAGTAAATCATCACGTGAAATCGTCGTCAGACAGTGACGTCGATTCCATCTCACACTTCGCCCATAAATTAACGGACTTTCCACGTCGAAAAGAGGTATGGAAACGACGTATGTAGATCACGTGAAATCGTCATCAAAAAGTAACGTCGATTCTATCTGATACGTCGCCCATAAATTAACGGCCTTTTAACGTCGAAAAGGGACGTGGAAACTACGTGTATAAATCACGTGGAATCGCTGTAAGAAAATGACGTTGATTCTATCTGATATTTCGCCCACAAATTCAACGGACTTTCCACGTCGAATAGGGCCGTGAATACTACGTAAAGAGGTACGTTGATTTCACGTGAAATATACGTGTCCTTGCTGGCTGGGTTTAGACTTGTGCAAACAAGTTCCTCTTAAATATCAACGACCCACCCTTCTGCTCGGTTCATCCATCCATCCAACAGCTTTGCTGATGACAGCACTCTACATGCTGGACCACAAGCCTATCTCTTACAGTGCGAGCTGGACAAAAGAAGACTACCAGCGACTTCCTCTCTGACGAGAGGCCTGTAGGTTACCACTGCTTGGGGACGCAACAATCTTGTACAGTTTAATGCTTCCAAAACACAGTTTTGTACCTTGATGAACAAAAAGCGTCCTAGGGTTCATGAGATCACGGCGGACTTGATCTGGCAGGGACACACATCCCATCCATAGCGGCACCTGCTGGAAGAAAGCTAGATAACAGTCTTGTTTAGGCAGCTCAAAAATCGGATTAACAAAGCTTTAAGCTCCTCATAGCAACGGCGATGCCCTGGAATTTAGGCTTCTGCATGCGCGGCTGTTTCGGTGTAAATAAAAGTCTCGTCAGTTGCAACTAACGAATTCAGACTAGGTGGGAGTCTGTCAAAGATTTGTTTGTCTCCTAATTGTCATATTCTGTAGTGAGGGCCAAAGTGCACATGACATTTACTGACAGTTCTGCCTTTAAATTACTATGTTTATTGATATTTTTAAAAAATGCGAGTGTTTGCATATAACGGCACAAGCCATACTAAGGTAGATGCTTCCACCAGTAAGTATTATCATGTTGATAGAACGCTGTCACTTTGGTAGGCATTGGTAGACAAATGAGGAGAAGCTGGGTTATCAATTTAGAGTAGAGCTGCCAAATACTTGTGACATCTACCCTCCTCATGTGCTGTATATACGGCACAAACAGGACCAACCAGTCTTTTCAATTGATCGGATCAATTTCTTAACGAACAGTCTCAACCCTCTCTCTCTCTCAGGAGGCTGTCGGCGATCTATCTATTGTCTAACGGTTTGTCAACGAACTTATTCTTTAAGCAGCAAGCCTATCTATCCAGTTTTTTTTTCGTATCACCATAGAAGTTACACGCCTTTGACTATTTGGCATCTCAGATTGCTGGTTTTCGATCTTTTCAAATTGTTAGAGAAGTCATGTATACATAATTTTGAACCCCATCAGAGCCATGTTTACGTTTGTTCTACTTAGTTGATTTTTGCATTTTCAGCTCAACCTTCCGCCCTTATTACGGCTCTGCCGATACGTGTCGACTCGAAGTCGATGAGTTGACTGTGCTTCCATCTAAGCTGTGCATACCGAACCTTGTGTTAATTTACTGGTGCCTTACAGTTTCCTCGTTGCAGCTTCTTCTTGTAAGGTGCATTTAAGTTTTTGTACAACAGGTGGTAACACGTAATATATCATTACTTATAATTATTTATACAGTGAGCTTTAGAGTGTAATCCATAAGCTCATTTTTAAATTTATTTAAAAATGTACTTCCAAAAAGTAAGGCACACGATCACCATCCAGGAAGCCGATCATGAAAAAGCATTTGCTAGCGAATAGGTCACATGAATAAATAGAAAAAAAGGATAAAGCTTTGTTGGATCAGAAAGTGGATACCCAGTTGCACGAAGGAATTTGGAAAAACACAATACTGCAGCCGCTGAACTAAGAAATGAATCTGGCAATTTATCCATGAATTTATAGTTGTGAAGAAATTGAAAACAAGTTCAATATTTGCACGCTCCTACTTCTTCGGGGTTAAATTTTTTTCGATTTATTGGACTGTGTAAAGCGGCTATTAGTTTCCACCCCTGTCGAGAACAGACAATTATTAGGCTTTTAAGTTGTCTCCGGATCAATGAATCTGTAATATGTAATATCCACCATATTCTTGGCCCTACTTTTCGTTTTTTTGGCTTATTTTTTCTTTATGATAAAAAGAACACTGACGCATCCGCAAACGTGTGAATGGCGACGTTTGCGGCCTCAAAAAAAGCCGAACGTTTGTAGTTCATCTGCCGACTGTTACCCAATTTGGTTGAGTATCCTTAAAGGAAAGATCTACTATCTTTTACTAATGACCATAGGTTTTTTCACTTAGGGGAAAGTGGGGGAATCGTGCGCACCTAAGCAAACAATGAATTTTTAGAAAAACAAAATTAGAAAAGTGTCGAAAGTAGCATAATAAGCGATACTTATCGCATATTCCAACAAGTGAGTATAATTTTGAAAAATTATATCCATAAACATGATTCACTGTCAAATGTGCGTATATGCAATCGCGCATGATTCCCCAACTAAGCGGGCAATGGTGCGAATGGATTGGGGAATGGTGCGCATGAACTTGCACAATTGAGTAATGATCAAAACATTCAACATCAGTGTATTTTTATTTTCAATTCAGGCAAAAATCGCATCTATAATTTCTGGGAGTATCCGAACCTGCGCACTGTGCATGACACCAGGATGCACAAAGGACACATCGATACCATAATTCCATATCCTTTCCAACTTCTCCGCAAATAATGCAAAATTCATTTGATGTAGATGGTGCTTGCTGAGAAGATACTTCGAAACTGCTATCCAAATCGTCGAGCTCATCATCGTCGCAGATGTCTGATAGAATTTCTTCCGACGACTCTGATTCTGATCGTTCAACTCTCTTTTTGCCTTTCATCTTCTATTCATGCTGATCATCGAAACAATTTCTCACAGTTCCTTTCTTTAGAACTCTCTGCTTTCTTTCATTATCTTTTTTCATTTTATTTTCTTCCTTTAGCCGCTTACGTTCTTGTGCTTTTTCCAACTTCTCCTTCATGGGTGTGCTTGTAAGTATTTCTGAATGTTGCTTCTCTCGCGCCTTTCTCTTCTTTTGATCTCTTTGTTCTCTTTGTTTTGCTTTCGCCAGAGGAGCTATGGTATAAAATGAATTATTCTTTGACATTCCTGGCTGTGGATCTTTGTGATCCAGAAATAGACTCATAGATGTACCAGCTACCGGATCTCCACTATTTAATTGGGAGCCGGTTGGAACCGCAGCTTCTACCGTGGCTTCCTCTACTACAAAACTGTTTGCTGGATTCGCGGGAGCAAAATCCTCTTCTTGAAATCTATCAGGGTTCAATGGAAATATGCCAGTGGTCCTAAAACCGGAAACAGCTTTTTCAATGGTGGCTATTTGCATAAAAGCGTTGTTGAGTAGTTCTGCGACATCATATTCCGTAATCTTTTGATGACCAGTAGTAGAGAGATAAAGTTCATATTGCCTGTAAAGTGCGTTCTTCAATGGGCTAAAAACAGTAACATCTAAGGGCTGGAGGTTATCCGAAGTATGAGGTGGAATTGTAACCATGTGGATATTCTTCTCTTTACAGTAGTTATAGGCCTCAATTGAAATATGACTGGTATGATTATCCAACACCAAAAGAACAGGATCATTAGCGCTGGGCTTTACATTGCTTCCAAAATGGTGTAGCCACTCCACAAAAAGGTCGGAATTTATCCAACCATTCTTTGAGCATTTATACGATGCCCCAATTGGCCCATTTTTACCAATTGAAGGCGGCATTCTCTTTCTGGGATATATGAGCGTAGGAGGTACATAATTTCCAGCAGCATTTACTGAAAGAACCACTGTTATGGTTCTTCCCCTCTCTCCAGAAATAGCGGCACCCAATTTTTTAGTCCCTTTTGGTCCATAGACTTTTGGACATTTCTTTTGGACTGTTGTGATACCAGTTTCGTCCATATTATACACTCTGTTTGCTTGAAACTTATGTTTTTCCATCACTTTTCTGAGATTAGAGTAAAACGTGTCTACAGCGTCTTTATTGAATGAAGCAATTCTGTTCAAACTGGTTCCTTCAGGCTGTCGAAGTGAAATCTCGGGAGCCCTTTTCAAAAATCCATATAGCCAATCTTTTCCGGCTAACCTCTTTTCACGGTTGAAGTTGTGACAAATTTTATTTTCTTCAGCATATCTAAATGCTATGCTCCGGAGCTCCTTGGGTGTCAAGCCAAAGAACAGTTTTGGCAGCTTTAAAATATATTCTCTTAGTTCAGCTTCGATTGCCTCAGAAAACACAGGTTGGCGGCCCAAACGAGGGAGGTGATGTTCATGATCAGTTAAGTCCTTGTACTTCCGTTAAGTTGACTCTGGGATATTGAAAGCTCTTCCTACTTCTCTAATTTTTCGTCCATGTGCTTTGATCGCATGTATCGCATTTTTCAAGTCTTCAGCCGTAAATTTTAGAGTATTCGTTTCACGAGTGTAGTTTCGTGGCATCTGGAAAGAGCAAAAAACAAATCTATAGAAAAGTGTTATCTTAACATATAATCATGTGAGGGGGAATCGTGCGCATCTGTGCGCACGATTCCCCCTACGTATCTTCAGACACAATCCATGTTCTATAAAATAAACTATAAGCTTATTACATTCCAAATTATTCTGAAACACATGTAAAATTCTATGGTCCAATAATATATATGCATTAATAAGATCACTTTAATATTGATTACCTACCGTCTTATTTTCGACTCAGGAAAATTAACAGAATTTTATAGCCCAACGAACATCAGTTACATATGATCACCTAAGATAAACTGGCGAAACAAGCGATGTCGCCAATGATTCAGTAGATCGACCAGGTGGCGTGGCACACGCGGGGCTAACCGTAGAACGCGCGTAATTTGAAATAATGAGCTGCGCACAATTACCCGCAGCGCACAATTCCCCCACCTTCCCCAAACAACATAGTTGCCTTTAACTGCCGTAGTACTATTTCTCGCATTTCAGATCCACAAGCAATGCACATGCAGCATTTGTAGCCGAAGATTGTATAACAATAAACCGGTGTGTTACGACACCCAGTTCTGGGTGGGTTTTTGGCGTTTTCGGGATGATGGGCGGGGGTGGCGTGACTGGTACATGAAAAAATGGCACTTAACCTCTTGCTCGCTTGTTGGTTTGGAGGGCTAAACGTCCTTTTGGAAGCAAGGATGTGCTTTGTTGGTTTTTCATATACAGTGTGTGATCACTGTATAAGAATGTGGAAATGGAAGAGGAAAAGCAAATCAAGTGTCACCTGGAGATAGGTAAACAAACTATATTGCCAGAATTGTCTAATGTTCTTGAAAAAGGCCACAGTTGTGGCCAAAATGTCATCAGTAAACAGTACCTACTTAAAACTTATGTGGTTTCATTTAGCGGCCAGATAAACATGGGGTATTATCAGCATGAAAACCTCAGGGTATGTTTCAGGAGTTACATTAAGAGTAATCTATGTTTAGTGATATGTAATTTCGACCATGACCAATCCGCTCTTTAAAAAGGTTTGGGTGTTGACACAAT